GAGTGTTTTACAAGAGTGTCCCACAAGAGTGTCCTACAAGAGTATCCCACAAGGTTTCCTACAAGAGTGTCCTATAAGAGTGTCCCACAAGAGTGTCCCACAAGAGTGTCCTACAAGAGTGTCCCACAAGAGTGTCCCGCAAGAGTCTCCCAAATGAGTGTCCCACAGGAGTGTCCCACAAGCGTGTCCCGTAACAGTGTCCCGCAAGAGTGTCTCACAAGAGTGTCCCTGAAGAGTGTCCCACAAGAATGTCCCACAAGAGTGTCCCGCAAGAGTGTCCCAAATGAGTGTCCCACAGGAGTGTCCCACAAGAGTGTCCCGCAACAGTGTCCCGCAAGAGTGTCTCACAAGAGTGTCCCTTAAGAGTGTCCCACAAGAGTGTCCCGCAACAGTGTCCCACAAGAGTGTGTCCCACAAGAGTGTCCCACAAGAGTATCCCACAAGAGTGTCCTACAGGAGTGTCCCACAAGAGTGTCCCAAGACTTTCCCACAAGAGTGTCCCACAAGAGTGTCCTACAAGAGTGTCCCGCAAGAGTGTCTCACAAGAGTGTCCCACAAGAAAGTCCCACAAGAGTGTCCTGCAAGAGTGTCCCACAAGAGTGTCCCAAATGAGTGTCGCACAGGAGTGTCCCACAGGAGTGTCCCACAAGAGTGTCCCGCAAGAGTGTCCCACAAGAGTGTCCCTTAAGAGTGTCCCACAAGAGTGTCCTGCAAGAGTGTCCCACAAGAGTGTCCCAAATGAGTGTCCCACAGGAGTGTCCCACAAGAGTGTCCCGCAAGAGTGTCTCACAAGAGTGTCCCTTAAGAGTGTCCCACAAGAGTGTCCCGCAACAGTGTCCCACAAGAGTGTCCCACAAGAGTGTCCTACAGGAGTATCCCACAAGAGTGTCCTACAAGAGTGCCCCACAAGAGTTTCCTACTAGAGTGTCCCACAAGAGTGTCCCGCAACAGTGTCCCACAAGAGTGTCCCACAAGAGTGTCCCGTAAGAGTGTCCCACAAGAGTTTCCTACAAGAGTGACCCACAAGAGTGTCCTACAAGAGTGTCCTACAAGAGTGTCATTTGGACATATGTAGCTTTTTGAAGGTGTTTGCATTCGGGTTCGTGGGCTCCATCTTGTTCTTTTCCACAATAATGCCTCCTCGACTTTTTTGAGTTACTTTTTGCTGCTCCTGTCCTGTCAACGTGTTGTCAAGAAAGCATACGCGATTCTGCGCGTTTATTGGTGCAAATTCTCCAAGTGTGCACTTGTTCGTTATGCTTTCCCTTCCAGTGGCCAGTGGCCTACTTCTGAACGCACGCAATGTGATACTATGCCTGTGTACATCTTTTGTGGGTGGCATTGAATGTGTGCCCTGTCCTTTCCTTACCTGACATCCCCATCTCCCTTGCCTGTTACTGGGAAACGGCCCACTTCAAGAAGCACCACTTCTACCCTAGAATCTCATCTGAACGATGACTGACGAGGAGAACGGGTTTCCAGGAACCGTGTACCTCCCAAGTGTCACATCACTGCCAGGTCGGAAGCTTTTCACACTGACCGGACCGGATGCCATGCCGAAAAAGGAAGACGATCCCCCCCAAGGGTTCACGTGCCGTTCCCAAAGGCTTCGGTGCTTCGACCTGGTTCGACCATTGGGACCTTGTTGTTGGTGAGTGCTGCGCACCTTTCGTTGATGCTTCGAACCACCATGCATGGAGGATGGAGAATTCACCCACGTGGCCAGTCGCAGAATTTGGGAGTTCCTTGGGCTTACTTATGCTTACTTTGTTTGTGAGCCCCCCAAGTGTCCAACACACTGTTGATCCAACACACTGACTGTCACTCGGCATGGAACCTGGAAGTGTTCACTTCCACTTGCACCCCTGATCAAACAACCAAGCCAAGTCGGTAACACTCTGCACATCTAGAAAGGAGGGACAAATAAACGTG